GTGGGGGGATGGGGGCGGGAGAACGGGGGCTGAGGGGATTTGGGGTGTGGAGATGTCTGGTAACTGGTGGCTAAGGGTGAGGGGGCGGGAAGAAGGCTCGGGAAGGGGAAGATGAGGGTTGAAAGTCAGCGACATGGACGGTGGGATCGAGTTTGCAGGTTTGCTGAGGACACCAAGCTATGTAGAGTGGTCAACGCGCTGGAGGGAAGGGAGACCATCCAGAGGGACCTGGACAGGCTGGGGGGGGGGGGGCGGGCGCAGAGAGGGGGGCCTGTGCCAACCTCATGAAGTTCAACAACGCCAAGTGCAGGATCCTGCACCTGTGTAGGGGCAACCCCAAGCACAGACACAGGCTGGGCGGAGAATGGCTCAAAAGCAGTCCCAAGGAGAAGGACTTGGGGGTGCTGCTTGGTGAGAAGCTCAAAATGATCCAGCAATCTGCACTTGCAGCTCAGAAAGCTAATTCCATCCTGGGCTGCATCAAAAGCAGTGAGGCCAGCAGGGCAAGGGAGGGATTCTGCCCCTCTGCTCTGCTGAGACCCCATCTGCAGTGCTGCATCCAGTTCTGGGCTCCCTAACAAAAGAAGGACATGGAGCTGTTAGAGCAAGTTCAGAGAAGGGCCACAAGACGACCGGAGGGCTGGAGCACAGGACAGGCTGAGAGAGTTGGGGATGTTGATGGCCTTCCAGTACCTGAAGGGGGCCTACGAGGAAGCTGGAGAGGGGCTTTTTACAGGGGCAGGTAGTGACAGGACAAGTAATGGATTTAAACTAGAAGGGGCTAGATTTAGATTAGATGTCAGGAAGAAAGTCTTTACTCTGTGAGACACTGGCCCAGGTTGCCCAGGGAAGTTGTGGATGCCCCCTCCCTGGAAGTGTTCAAGGCCAGGTTGGTTGGGGCTTTGAGCAGCCTGGTCTGGTGGGAGGTGTCCCTGCCCACAGCAGGGGGTTGGAACGGGATGATCTTTAAGGTCCCTCCAAACCCAAACCAGTCTGTGATTCTTTGGGGGGTTAGGGGTGAGGCTGGGTGGATGGGGATGAGTAGGACTGAATAGGAACTGGGAGGTGAGGGGGGGATGGGGGAGTGAAGAGAGTTGGATGGGTGATGAAGGGAGGAAGTGAGGCAGTACACCCACCACCCACATGGGTGAAGGGTATGAGCACTGGTATCATCCTTGGCAGAGCAGGATGACTGTCAGTGTGACTGGGTGCGCATCCCTACAAGGGGGTGTGTCCATGAGTCAGCTGTGCATGTGTGTGTCAGGGTCAAGAGCACGACAGTGGCTGGAATCCCACCACTGCACAGGACAGTCAGGGGGTGCAATGAGGGGACACTGTCACACCCCTGCTGCTGTGCACACCCATAGTGGCTGGGGACAGGGAGAACAAGTGCGTCTTACACCCACCCTGGGGGTCTGTGCCTGCCTCAACCATGCTCCCCCCAGCTCTGTCCTTCTAAAATGCTCCACCATGGCACAAGCAGCAACAGGGCCTGGCACCAAACAAGGACACACAAGGTAGCAACTGGTGTTTTCATTGCCTACAACCTTAGAGGGTGTCCACAGGGCTGCATTCCTCCCCAGAATGACCCTAAACATCCTGCATGCAATTGCAGCTCTGCATCTCTCCAGGGTGCAGGAGGAAGGGGTGAGCCAGGACTGTCTTCCTCCTTCAGCCAAAGCCCACAGAAATGCAACTCTGGGCTAAGCCAAAAGAAGGCTTTTTCAAATACTTTCTCAGTCAAGAGGGAAATGAAAAGATGCTGTTTTGGGTCAAAACAAACCATCACCACTATACAAAGCAAACTGCCTTTTAATACGTAAGGAAATGCAAGGGGTGAGTTTCAGGATAGCTTTTTCTTCTCAGCGTCATCCATCTGCCAACAGCAATACAAAGAACTCATAAAGCGTAAAATGAGACACTGCCACAGAAATAGATGTTATATGCACATACACAACATATAAAGACAGAAGACACAAGTAACAGAGCACGGAGGGTCTGTCTCTGCCCCAGCCAGGCAGGGTGCTCCCTCTCCAAGGGCACCTCTTGCAGGACCAGGAATCCTCAGCACTCCCCAGCTGGGGCCATGCACACCCTTTCACATCGCCTTACAGGCACCAGGACATTAAAGGCTGGTGAGCAGTGTCCATCCCGCTACTTCTTGGGCCCACTGATTTGTAAGGCTCCATATCATGGTCTGTCAGCTCCTCACCCTGTCCTAGGTGCTCCTTCAGGCCACTTCGGAGGGGTCCCACGCATTCCCAGTCAGCAGCCAGGAGCCCAACCCTTCCCAAGCTCCATCTTGCCCTGTGAGCAGGCCCGGGAGCCCCTGGCACAGTGAGGAAAAGCAGGGCACGAAGGAAGAGCCCCAGGGAGATGCGGCCACCCCACACCAGGACACATGCTGCTGGGCCAGCCCTGCGCTAATTACTTGATTTTACACGCTTAGCAAACAGCACATGCTTCATACTGGTGTGAGAGGCAGACATCATGCTCAAGGTGATGGCTGCAAAGGGAGAAGATGAGGTCTCCAACCATTCTGACTACTCTGACTTGCCACATCTGGTCCTGAAAGCACCCCCAACATTGCTTTTTCTATGTATTTTTCCTGGTGGATTTGGCAAAATTTGCCCCATGGATGGGAAAAATATAGTTCATATCTTAGGTTAGAAATACAGAACAAAGAATTAAACGAAGTGGTTGTGCTGGTCTCCAGGACAACAGTTTGAAGGGCACAAAGTTGGTCTGAAGTGGACAGATAGCAGTCACTGCATCTCCTACTGCCTTTCTGACTGCTTTGGCAAAACCACATCATCCTGAGCAACTGCAGGAGTAAACCCCATTGTTCCTGAATCTGATGGCACTGCTGAGCACAGGAAAGGCAGGTGAGGACAAGCCAGTGACAAACCCAAGGGGAGCATGGCTGGACCGTCCCCACCCTGCTGCCCAGAAAGGTCACAACAGCCTGGTATCCGCCTCTCCCAAACTCTCCAGGAAGGCTGCTGAGGAGTCCAAAACCTTGAGCTGCCTCTGCTCTCCCCAGCTCCACCTCACACAGAGACCCTTCAGATGCTGCTGAGCTTCTCAAAGTGCTTGGTAACATCTCTGTTCCTAAGGCAACTGGGTCACCTGGACCGAGGAGGAGGAGAGGGGATGAAAAGCACAAGAGGAGGGAGCAAAGAGCAGAGCAGAGGGGCTCACGCAGGCTGAGATGATGCAGAGGACCGATCAGCAACCTGACAAGGGCAGTCAACAAACACATGTAATGAGGAGACCATGCTGCATCAAGAAACAGCAACCAAGTGCTGTGGTGCCTGTAAGGCCAGTGGGTCCATCTGCAAGAAGCTGCCCAGGAACATGCGGGCCAGAAAGCAGTGTGTCCTTCCTCAGACCCCAGGAGTCTGACAAAACTCCCCACTGGCATGGCTGCATCTCCCTGCAAGATTTCTCAAGGGAAAAAACACAAACCACTTCATCCTAGAATGCCTGAAAGCTCTGCTAGGGCACCTTGTTTCAGGCACTGGAAGACAGAATCTTGAGTGACCAGGAAGCATAGGGTACCATTTGCAGATGTGCATGGCCAGGAGACCTCATAACTGCTGGTGGCTTTTCAAAATGCAGCTCCTAGTTTATAGTGAGGCTTCAAAACAGGTTGCCCACAGCCAATGATAAGCCCACATCCCCTCTGGCACCACCCCTCCCCTCACTCTGTCCACGTGAGCTGGTGTACCCCTCAGGTCCTGCAGCCCTCACACCTCACCTTGAGTTGGACCTCACAGGCACAGAGTGGCTGCCCACCTGCAAAGGATGCTGGTGGGAAGTCAGGGCCCCAGTCAGAGGGAGGCACTCCTGCATCCACCTTTGCAGGGAGAGCTGCTGAGCATCTCAGAACTGAGCCTGGTGAGGAACATGATGCTCCAGGGTGGCTCTCGCTGGGGCAATGCAAAGCACCTGCATGCTGGGCTAGGGATATTTTAGAGGCATCCCTAAGAAAGTTGCTCTCATGTCCAAAAAACCTGTTTCCATACTGGCACTCAGGTGCCACAACACGGTCCATTCGGTGGGTGCTGGGACCCATGCCAGACCCCAGCAGGAGTTCGCTGTGTTGCACTAGATCTGTCCCACCACATCTCTGAGGAGCTGCCCCAGCCTGCAGCAGCCACGGCTGCGTGAACCACTTGTTGTTCTCCCCTTCCCAGGAAAAACTGAACTCTGGGGGAAGTATTGGGGACTGTCTGGGGAAGCCACCACTCCTTGGCAGCTGGCTGACTCCTAAGGGTGCTGATGCTCCTGCAGGGAGAGTGCTCTCCTCACCATGGATGTCTCCAGCCCTGGAGAACAAGGACTCCTGCGAGCCCCATGCAGGGCAAGGAGCAGGTTGGGAGGACAGCAACCACAGCCCAGCACCCAGGGGGCTCTTGGGGCTGCCAGCCAGCAGGGTTTGTGACTCCAGGTGAGTTCCTGATGCTTCCAGCTGTTTCAGAGCTGTGGCCATCCAAGCCTCTGATGGGCAACCTCCAGGAGAAGCACTCTGGCCCAAGGCACTGGCTGGGTTTGCCTGGACCGGGACATTGTACCACCCAGTCAATGGTGTGTTTGAGTGCAATGGAGGTGGGCAGCTTGAGCCTGCCAACTCACACCTAGATTGGCTCTGATCATCAGGAGTACTGTTATCCACAAGAGCAGAGGTGGTAGCTTCTGCTTGAAGCACTTGTCCCAGGTTTGCCAGCTGAAGTGCTACAGGGGGCTTGCTGCTGGAGCCTGAGACATCCAGAAGAGTTCCCTCTACCAGCTCAGCTGGGTTAAATGGGACCAGCTGTTCTGGCTGAGCAGAGCTGACCTGGGATGTAACACAGACCAGAGAGACCACAGCATCTTGGCCTTGTGCACCAGGTGCCTGCGGCTGTGGTGGGGCTTGAAACCCTGAATTAGCTGCCCAAGAGTGCTGGAAATGAGCCGCAGCACTGCCTTCCTCATTGCAGGGGGATGTGCTGCAGTGTGGGAAGTCCTTCTCCAGGAAGTCCTGCCTGAGAAGCATCTGCTCTACGTCAGTGACCTCAGTGCCCAGCCTCTCGCCAGCCTCCTGAGCTGGTGGCTCCTCTGTGCCCAAGCTGAGCAGTGCCTCCTCCCACCGCTGCAGCTCCTCATTGTCCACGTTGAGGCTCTGGAGGGTCTGGCAAATGTTTCCATCCATCTCACTCTTCTCAAGCAGAGTTTCGATAATGACCAGGAGGGAGTTGCTGTCCTTAGCATCGCTGGCTTTGTCATTATGGCTCGGTCCATCAGGCTCAGCGATGAGATCTGGCAAGGAGAACTGAGGCACGTTATCGGCATGGGAGACATATATGGATGCATCCTGCTTCATCATGGACCCAAGAAGAGAGTTGGGGTCTACCAAGTGCTGCTTTGAGCGGCAGTTGGCTTGTGTCTGCAACTCCTTCTTAGCCTGGAAGGAGTCCAGTAACTCGGGAAGGTCATTCCCATACAAGACTGCTTCCCCTGTGGCAAAGCTAAAAGGCAGCTGCAGGTTTCTCTTCCGCAGGTGTTCCTCCCCTTCTTCATTCCTTCAGGGCAGAGAGAAAAAGAGATGGAGACAGCATGAGCACCTCCTCTAGGACAGGCAAAACCACCCTCCCGATAGTGAGACTGGAGGTCACAGCCCTGCCCTGCCTTTTCTAAAGGAAAGGGCGCTGGATCGGTCTGACTACAAAGCTGCTGGTGGAGGACTGGGGCTCTGCGGCACCCACAGCAGGGTCTGCATGGCTCAGGGAAGGGGTGTGTGTCTAGGGCTCATCCCAGGCAAGAGAGAGCAGCCACCTTCTCAGAGACATTTCACTCTTAGCCCCCTGCTACAGAAGGGCACGTGCTGCAAAGTGCCACCCGTGCAAGCCAACCACCCTTGCCTCTGTGTGCCCCGAGCAGCCCCACATCAAGAGCAGAAGGCAGCCAGAAACCCAGCAATACTCACGACAGGGCTCGCTGCCGGGCAATGATGCAGTCGGGCTTGCCTCCTTGGTACACCAGCCGGGCATTGGCCTGCACCCACACCCAGCCGCTCTTCTTGGTCAGCAGCCGGAAAACCGTCAGCCCACTCTCCCCTGTCTTCATCACTGGGGCAGGGAGAGAAGAAAGGAAGCACAGAGCTGGTTACTCCATGGGAATAGACAAATAGCACGTGCAAGAGGCCATGATATTGAGCATCACTTTGCACCCATGCTATGGGGGCAGACAAGGCAGGATGCAAGCAGCACCCAATGCCATGTGCTGTGCTGTTCCCCTGCCTGCTCTGCGAGCGGGTATCACCCAGGAGGGGAGGGTTGGGGGGGTATCCCCTTCCAGACAGGGGACAGCCAGCCTGCCAAGTAGCAACGGTACAGGCATGGCCAGAGCTGCACCGTGCTGGGGAGCTGTGAGGGCCCCACACAAATGCACCCACTCCAATGCCCCCCCAGCACTCACTTCTCATGTGGTTCTCCGCGCAGTGCATCATGTCAGCTGCATGCACAAACTGGTACCCAGACCCCCTCCTGCACAGCTCCGTTTCTGTGTACCCCAGGACGACCTTCCCCCTGAAAAGGGTATAGAAACCAAATGAAACCAGGGATGGATCTCACCATTAGACCCCACTGGCTGGACTTGATCCCCTGCCCAGCACCCAGGCAACTGGCCAGAGCCTCCCACTGTGGGTGGTGCAACTCTCCATCCTGGGCTGAGCTGCTGTTGTGGTTGAACCCAGCAGGAGCGAAACACCCCGCAGCCATTCACTCACTCAAGAAAATCAGAGGAGAAAGGTTGGGACACTTGTGGGTTGAGATAAAAACAGTTTAATGATCAAAATAAAATGAATATAATAATTTGTAATAATAAAAGGAGCAATGACAGTAATACTCGGCTCACACAAGTACTGAGCTATGCATTACCAGCAATTAATATTAGATAAGATAATAAATACTGAACAGAATAGCTTCAGCAAAATGGGGGAAGTAGTAGGCCTCAGGAACAGGATGGGCAAAACCCTCCAGGAACAGCAACCATCAAGGAAAAACAGGGTGTCCCCAGTGAACTCCTCAAATTATAGTGAGTGTGACGTTTATGGTATGGGATGATCCTCTTGGCCAGCATCATCAGCTGCTCTGAAAGCCCTGGCTTTTGCCACCCCTAGCTTCTGCACCTGATTATCTCAAAAGTGCTAAGGATCTTAATCCCTGAATTACCAGTGCTGGCCAAAAACTAAAAGTGTCTGATCAACTCTGGCTTCCACTAAATCAAGTACTGTACCTTTTGCAGAAATGTGGCTTTCCTGAGTAGAAAACTGATTCTAAGATTCTATTCCAGTGAAACGAGGACAGCTGCATTCCCTGTTCTGCAAAACCCTATACTGGGTTAAAACACGGGACACAAAAAGGGCTGGCACCCTGTTAATCTGCTCTCTGTCTTACTAGGAGGCTGCAGAAATGCCTGGCAGTGGATGGACAAAGCATCAGACAACTTGTTACACAAGTTGAGTCAGAAGTGCCTTGCTCCCACAATCTCTGTTTTTCTGTTCAGCACCACAAATTTGGCCACAGCAAAGGTGCCCTACCGGGAATCACAGGCCATGGGAGTGAAGTCCAGCTTGTGCTTTGTCTGGAAGATCAACGTCTTGGTCCGAAGCTCCAGTATGGAGAGCGGCTGGAGGGGAGTTGCAATGGCAAAGAGAGCAAGTGGGAATCTGTCTGATGCTGCCTTCTGCTGCCCAAGAAGGAATTTCAAGCGTCCACGGAAATCCAAGGCCTGAGAGGGAATTAGAAAATGTGAGTGTGAAGCAAACAGGGTGATGGGAACTGGCTGTGCTCCCAACCCATGGGACACAAGAGAAACACACTGGGGGCAGAGGGGTGTCCCAGCAGGGGGCTGTGTTACCAGAAATCCCGAGGAGTTATCCAGCAAGCAGCGGAAGCGGCAGGTGAAGCTCCTCTCCACGCAGGAGGGCTTCTCCAGGCAGAGGTGCTGGGGGCTGGGTGCAGTGCCATGTCCCGCCAGCAGCGGCTGGTCAGTGGGAAAGGCTAGGAAACCAAAGGGAAAATGAAGCTTTCCAAGCTGCGACACCTCCAGTTCATGGCATTGCAGACCTGGTCCTGGTGGAGACCTTGCTGCTCAAGTGAACCCATGATCTTCACAAGATGGGTAAGACCTTGCCATGGGAAATTACCAGTTCACAACGGTTTCTGGTCCCCTTGCCTCTCAGACAGGAGCAAGGCAACAAACCACCCTCACCAAAATAAATCTTATTTCAAACACTAAAAAGTGAAAAGGTGTTTAGAAAGCGTCTCTATCCCTCCACCACAGCAAAAGCACATCACTGCTGTTGGCTGCTTTTGGTAACAAGTGGCCATGCCAACCCTGGGGATGGTTGCAAGAGGCTACGAGATGTTTCTCAGCACAGGTGGCTATAAATGCCACCGGGAGGGTTTTTCAGCACGGAGTGGCCATGCAGAGGCAGCTGGCTGAACCCCAGCGATCACTCCAGCACTCACCATCGGAAGTGTGCTGCGTGCTGCCCGATGCTGGAGCTCTGTGCAGCTGGCGACGGAAAGCAGCTCTGTCATCCGCATGGATCAGCTCATACACACTCTGGTAGATGAGATCCGACTGGAACGACACAAGGAGAGAGGGGCATCAACTCCTGCCCAGCCTGACAGAGGTGTCTGGAGGAAGACATGGCAGGAGGCTTTCCTTCATGGGTATTGAAAGTATAGCAACCAAGTATAAAGAAACAGGCAAACAATCAGCTTTGTGTGTCACGTGGAGAGCAAGGACCAAGAACTGGCTGCTTTTAAGGAAGGCGGCTCAGGAATGATGAAAGGGAGCAGAGAGTGGGTCTGCCTGGGGAAAATTGTGGGAATGGCTCTGAGGTTTCTAGAAAGAATAGAAATGACCAAGTAACGCTGGCTGCTCAGGACTGTCAACACTACCCATTTCTCCAGTGTCCCCTGGCCATAGCTAAGCACCACCCTGTTCCCCACATTGGCAAGGCTGAGGCTCTCCTGGCATCACCCAGCCCTTCCACAGGCGTTTCACACTGGCTCAGGCTCCTGATCCTTAACCGCAGTCCATGGAAGTCACAGAATGGTTTGGGATGGAAGGGCCCTTAAAGATCTTTTAGTCCAACTCCACCTCCCTCCCCTGCCACAGGAGCCCCTGCTCTTTGGGAAGCTTTGGTTTTGCTGCAGCAGCATTTGCCTGGCATGTCTCTTAGTATCTTCTCAGGACCAAATTCAGACACAGAGCCAGAAAGGCTGTGGGCTGTCAGAGGGAAATCTGTTTGTGGGATACAAATTGCCAGTCTGCAACAGCATGCAAGATCTGCGTTGCATTGCCATCCCTCTGCAAATAGAAGCAGTCCTGTGTTTCTTCCACAGGATCAATGAAAACCATAAATTTGAGGAGGCTGATAAAGACATTTTGACCAAACCAAACTTTTTTCAGATTTATGTGGGGAGATTTACTGTTTTAAAAAGTGTTTTTGTAGGGTTTTTTGTTTGGGGTTGGTGTTTTGGTTTTGTTTTGGTTTTTTTTGTGAGGTTTTTTGTTGTTGTTTTGTTTTGGGTTTTTTGGGGTTTTTTTGTGGGCTTTTTTTTGTTTTGGTAGTTTGTTGTTGTTGTTTTTTTACTCCAAACACTTGGGAATCTCCCTGTGCAATCCATCTTCCTTCAGTGGGCCACCCAGAAAGACAGATATACTGATGCTGGGCTGTTAGGTTGGCCACACAACAGGAACACCACAAAGTCCTCCCAGCTCCCAACACAGCCCGCTCCTTCTAGGGCCATGCCTTGGACCAGCCTTTCTCATCCTGGTCCTGCATGCTGTGGTGGTCAGCACAGTCCTGCCATGCCCATGGGCAGCCCAAACCACTGACTGCCATGGCCCTGCCCTCAAAAACATGCCAGAGCAGAGCCTCCTGCTTAACCAGACATGCAGGTACTTTGAGAAGACCACTCCCTGCCTCTGACAGCTGTTTTGACTTGAGGCATCAGCCCACAAGGATGCTTCTACAGTGAGCTGGAAAAGGCTGCAAAGAGAAGATAAAAGAAAACGCAACAGGGCCCCATGCGATGAAATGGATTTGGCAACCTCACAGCCCTCCTGTTGACTCAGTCCTTTGGCCAAAGGAGCTGGACGTCAGGGGAATCGGAGGTTACAGGGTGGATGTGGGGAGAGATCTGCTTTCCCTTGGCATCCCATGCAACTCCTGGTACTTCAGGGCACTGATACTGCTCACCAGCGAGATAACCTCAGCTTTCTGTGAGTGAGAGCATCTGTGCCCATCAGCATGATACAAGAGAAATCTCACACCCCTCTTAGACACAAAGACAAGAGGGTACAGAGCCTGCCACTACTCACTTGCAGCCACAAACATGCTTGTTGGCTTCCACAGCTCCCAGAGAACATGACTCATTTGAAAGTGTACATAAAAAATGACCCAAGGTAGCCAGGAGAAGAAAAGAAAGCCCTGGCATGGCTGCCAGCATCTCCTTGCCAGGCCTGGGCTGCACCCACCTGCTTACAGTCAAGAAAAAAGTGGTACCCACCTGGTGAAAGCCCAGATAGTCCTGCACAGTAGGAGAGATGTAGAAGATGTAGCCATCTCCAGTCACAGCGATGACAAATCCATTAAGTGCCTGAAAGCAAAAGTTGAGCCCAGTTACTCTCCCTAGCTTTAATCCAGCTGCTGAAATTCTCTAGGTTTTTCTTAAACATTTGGGGTCAGGATGGGACCTTCTTCATCAACAAGGAACCCACAAAAAAACCAAACAAAACCCAAACACACACTTTGTGATCATGCAAGGCTTTTAATCCTGGTTAGTTGGTTTGGTTTGTTTTTCATGGCTTTGTTTATGTTTGTTGTTGTTAGTGGTTTTTTGTTTGTTTTTGGTTTTTTCCTGCAGTGTCAGCATAAGCATGGTCCAAGGTGGACTGACCGCTTTTTCTAGATCCATTATTGAAGCCCTCTCACCGCAGGGCAGCTCCTGCATCAGGAGAGACGAGCTAAGAACATGTTTCATGGAGGACCTAGTTACCTCCTTTCCAGCTGTACCAGCTGGGTACAGGTGTGCTCTTCTGGGACTCCAGTTGTCACTAACAAACCTGCATACAGCTTCAGTAACAAGAAGCAACAGGTCATGCAGAGAGAAGGACTGTCCTGAACTGTGCAGGAGAAGCCTAGCATCAGCCTAGCAAGCATAATCACACCTTCAGAAATAATAACCAAATTGCAGTCAGTCACTGACCTGACCTATTTATCCACTTGTTCATTTTAAGGATGACCTCCAAAGGCACTTTGGGCCTCACGCCTCACTCTAAATTTTACAGTAGGATGTTATGCAAGGTTATTTCTGTATGTTTTCTCCCTACACTTTCTCCAATCACGCCCCAAAACTTGCCTTTTAATCCTTACCACCTGAGGCGTACAAGCATATCACTGTCCCTCAGACTCCTGCTCTCATCTCCAAGGGTACCTGAGCAACTTATCACAAAGTACACTAAGTAAGCCACTGCTGTCATTTGAAGATGGGAAAACAGTTAAAAACAACACACAGCCTGAAAGCAAGAGAGGTGGAAAAATCCAGAAACTCAGATCCCAGATTTGTGAAGGGCCCAAGATCGCACCTGTGTTGTCTTACATGGCACCCACTGGTCCTTACAAGCATGCAGACTGTTTGTCTCATCTTTGAGGAGGTGCCAGCATCCTGTATTCATCTGTCTCCCATTACACAGGGCCACAACCCCTTCTCATCTAATTTTGTTCTTGTTCCTTACAAACATGTCAAGAGGCCCCATTGCTCTTAAAGGCCCTCAAACACATCCTGGCATTGAACTGCCACTATGACACACCATACTAGGAAAGTTACTCTCTTCTTGCCAGTGTTCTAGATGATAGAAGGCAAGGCTTTAAGCACAAAACATCCTAATCTCTAGAACAAAATAGTCATCATACCTTCTGCTAGCTTCACTTCTGCCAGCTTCACTTCTTGCCTTACAGACAATTACATATGCCTGGCCTGCAGTTAAATACATACCCAACTGGTGGCTCCTTGCTTGAAAAAGACAAAACCCACACCAAATTAGACAAACTATTCCAAAACTATAGGAGATCATGGCTGAGGTGGAGGAAGGGGAGCTCATGCATAAAGTGAATACTCAGAAAAAAAGAGGGAAGATGAAGTTCCAGAGATAAGTGGTGACCATTTCAGGCTGATTTCCTCCAAAAGGAAAGTATTGCACTAGATAGTAATTCTTGCCCCCTGCTCCTGTCTGTAATATATTTAATTAATTAGTGAAAAGGAGACAAATTAGGAAAAAAAACCCTTAAGTAGAAGTCCTTGTTTAGTCAGGATGAGGGCAGAAGTCTCAGCAGATCTCATAGGCCACTTACCAGGACCTGCCATGACAATTCCAGACGTTGCCCTCACAACCCAGCAAGGCCACACTAAGCTGTCCCTGGAGGGCACCATGGGGACCTGCTGTTTGCTTGAGACCAGGCTGGAGAGAAGGGTCTGGCCACCCATGCTGCTCCTTCAGCTCTGCTCAACCTCTCCCTCCCATGCAGAGAGGAGCAAATTGGCTGACACAGCTCATGCATCTGCCCATTTACAGCACCACTCGCCTGGGATGGCTTTTTTTAGTCACTTGGATTATTTGAGAGGCTGCTGGATTGAGCATGTTGCAAGATACTGTACAGATCCAGCTTGCAGCAAGACTGGTCCCTTTCCTTTGTGTGCTGCAGCCCCCCAAGGGGCCCTGAGTCAGAGTTTTCTCCAAATTACAGTATCTGATTAAAATGGTCTTTGAGGGGGGAAAAAACATCGAGCAGCTCAGCTAGGGGATTTGTGTCACATTAATACCTCATAAGCTCTCCAGATGCCTTCAATCACCTGAGGCTGCCAATGCCCTGGTGGTTCAACAAACTGCCATCATACGGCCCAGCTCAAACTCCCAGAGAGTGCTTTGGAGCAGCTCCATGGAGGGACTGGGGCAACCACAGGCTCCCTCCTGGCTCTTGCATTATTCCAGCTGTTCCTCCATGACTATCACACTTGCAGACAGCTCAGATTGCCTCTGGGAGCAAAGTCTACATGGGAGACTTCATGTCGTCCAAGCTTCATTGCCAAAAGCCACACTGGGCTCCCAGGAGTCACCACCACTGCAAAATCCTTCACGGGGGCTCCTGCTGGGGCTCTGCTTGCAAGGATGCTCACGCCTGCCTGTCCATAGCAGTGGGCATTCATGTAAGGCTGTGTGTAATTAGACTTTAAGGAGAGCCACACAGCCACTTGCTTTTGTTTGGAGAGGTGGAAGAAGGGAGAAGAGGACTCAAGGCCCAGAAAGCACAGACATAGGTGACATTGGGAACACAGCCATGGAACAATTAAAGATCTTACATGAACTTGCCCTGCAGCCCCAAAGAGCAGCATGTTTTGAGATGCCCCAATGTTCATTCAGCAACCAGCTTTTCTATGAGCCCTTTCTATCCCATTTCTCCCTTTGGCAACTTACAAATTGCAGCCCACGCAAACAGCATCCTGGCCAGCTGATTCACCAGTTCCTCGTTCTCTGGAGTGAGCTGTATCATTAGACACACAGTGGCCTTCCTACAAAGCAAAGCTCCCACCATGCATTAAATTTGTCTACCACTGTCTCCCAGATCCATCTTCCCTTGTTTTCTTCCCCTCAACCTTCAGTGTGAGCCTGAGCTTCTTCCATCCCAGACAGGCTGTGAACTCGTGCTAGGGACTTCATGCAATGCCCCAGGTAGAGCAAACTGTTCCTAGCAGATGTTTTATCCTGCAGCTATTGCCCTTCTCCTCTTCACATTCACTAAAACACAAGGAACTGACCATCACAGAGACTATAATCAGGGACTGTCCCCTGCAGTGTTGTATGATACACCTGCACCCTCCTAGTTGGGATTTACAAACTTGTGCATGGTGGGACCATGAGCTGGAGTGGGTCCCAAGGGAAAATGCCAGGTTTGGGCTCAGTGACAGCTAACACCTGCAAGCTACAGGCACAGATAGCACCCAACACCTTTGTGAGAAGGACACAACCCACTAGCCCGAGCCCTGCTCTGCTCACAAATGCAGTTTATGGTACAATACAGAGCTTCTGCAGTGTAACCAAAAGGGCAGCAAACTGCAGCGTGGGGTGGGAGGGAAGAGTGGGGACTGGGATCCACCCCAGCCAGACAGTGTCACTGGTCCCTGTGCCAAGGTGCTCAGTGTCTGCAGAAATCTAGGAGCATCAGCTTCTGGCGAGGCAGGGTCTCCTCTTGCTCCACTGATGGGACCACATGTTCCACAGCTGCTGTACAGTTCATCGGATGGGAACCAGCCATTGTGCCTGGTGGACAGCAGGAGCCAAGAGACAACCTTGAATGACCAGCATGATACCTGAAGCAGCAATTCTCCCTCGGGAAACAGCTCCCCATTGACCTGCAGGTCTGTCCGTCCATTCCCTCCTGAGGGTCTGGGCTGATCCACCACAGAGTTGCCAACATCTGTAGCTGCTGCTGCAAGTGAGAGGGCAAGAAATCAGCATTTGTCAAGGGTAAACCAAGAACATCTCCCTCCTCCTCCTCCCCACCCTGGTGCTGCTCATGTATGGCTGCACCACGCTATCCAATGCATGGGGACCTGGCTCAGAGAAAGAGACCACCAGTAGCAGCTAGAGCAGAGACTCTTTACAGAGCCATCCCTAACTTGCTCACTGCTTCCTCCAGGAGATTATTTCCCCTTCTTGGTCCCATTTCTGGGAAACTTCACTACTGCCAAGGTCTGAGGCAGAGCTACAAAGGACAGAAGGGAGGTAAGTGCTTCTGGGCTGCCCAGGCTAAGAAACACAACCCAATACAGTGAGAAGTCTTTAGGTCAGGGCTTGGTAGAGCTGGAGTTGGCTACAAGCCACCCCAGTGCCACAATGTCTCCTTTTCTGGCCTTCAGGGCTGACAAAACACAGTGGCAAACCTTCCCAAGCCATCCGAGATGGCATCAAAGCAGCAGTACTTTTTCTCTCTTCTGCCTTTGGCTGCTCAGAAGCAGATCAGAGGGTTGATGGCCACGGCACTCCCAGTGAGACATCTGAGCAGCTCTCTGCTCCCAGGACTTGCTACCATGACCCCCCGCGGCTGATTCACCCACACCTGTGGGTGCAGTCAACATGAAACCTCTTGCCCTGGTCACAGGACATCAAGCACCCCAGGGAACATAGAAAATTGATTGTTCAGAGAACAGAAACAAGGATAGTGGCTCCCAGGGACATCCTCAGAGCAGTACTTCATCTGCTGGGGAAATATCCTTGAAAATCTCCTTTCAAACTCTGCTTCCAACCAAAGGAGATTTTTTAAGGCAGGTTATTTGCCAACTTAACCAAAAACCCACAGGAAAACCTCAAAGCAGCCCCTGTGTAGGAACTTCCCCAACTCTGCCACTGTTACGAGCTCCTGCAGCTTCCCAAGGTTGGACAGAACTTGCACACTCTGTGCACAGCCACAGCTTGGCAGAGCCCTAGGTCTGATGGCACTGCATGGCCGTGGCTGGATCCAAAGGGAAAAGGTCTTCCTAAATTGGGGGAAGCAATAGAAAACGAGGAAAAACCCAAAACCATCTCAAGTCTGATCACACATTTAATTTTCTCCACAGTAGAAGCTCTCATCTCATCACTGAGAGGTTTTAAAGGTTTTAGTGTTGGGTTCCCCCTCCTCAAGTAGCACCACATCCAAAGCCAAAATAATTCTAAACTTAAAAAGTTTCATCTGAAACTGCTGATATGAGACAACTTTGCTTTTTATCAAAATCATTTTCACCGACAGATCTGCATCTTTGCATTAAAAACCAGTTTCAGGTCAAAACATTGCTCGGCTCTATTCACATGTGGGGCCTGAGTGACAACAAGCACCTGCCCATGCAGGCTTTCAGCAACCAGGCTCATGTTTAAAGATAATTAGTTGAAGGTCTTGCATAAGTTGACACAGAGGAGTCACACTATTCTCACCACACAGGTTTAAATAAAAGCAGAGAGGATGCTCTGTGCCCATTAAGCAGAATTAGACTATCACTGATAGAACTGGGCAACTTCAGCCTCCCCTAGACCTTGAGCGCTTCTTGGAGATGTTCAAGCATCTTCTGCCCCTTTCATCCTGCACTGTCACTCACAGGAGGCAAGCCCAGCTTGTGGGCAACTTCCACAGCACACACCTTCCCTTCCCCACAGCTCACCTCTGCATCAGTTTAGCCCCTGCCACAAATCTGCATTGCTTCCTACATAAGCTCACGTTCCCATCTCTGCAGGGGAGTCATGGTGTAACCTGGCAGGCAGTAAAGCACCACACAGTGGGGAAGAGAATCAGAGGAGAAAGGTTGGAACACTCATGGGTTGAGATAAAAACAGTTTAATGATTGACATAAACTAAAATAATTATAGCGATAATAACAAATTGTAATAAGAACAACAATGGTAGTAAAACACAAAGTTATACTCAGCTCACACAGAATCCATGAGCCATGCACTCCCAGCAGCGAACCTCAGATAAGATAATAAACACTGCAAACACAACAGCTCCAGCAAAAGCAGGAGAGTAGGAGGCCTTGGGTACAGAATGATGGGCAAAACCCTCCAGGGATGCCAACCAGCAAAGAAAAATAGAATGTCCCCAGGAAATTCCCCGATTTATAGTGAGTGTGATGTTTATGGTATGGGATAATCCTCTCAGCCAGTGTAGTCAGCTGCTCTGAAAGCTCACGGCTTTTGCTCCCCCCAGCTTCTGCACCTGGTTATCTCAGGAGTGCTAAGGACCTTAATTACTGCATACCAGAGCTGGCCAAAAACTAAAACAAAGTGTTGCATCAACTCTGGTTTCCATTAAATTAAGTACTGTAGTCTCAGAAATGCAGCTTTCCTGAACAGAAAACCAATTCTATTATTCTATCCCAGCAAACCCAGGACAAGGGGATGACTCTCCAGCATAGACACTTCCCAAATCAGCAAGAGGTGGATCAGCCAGACCAGGGGATGCAAGACCTCTGGGAAAGGTTGGGAAAGATGAAGTTCAATGCCAGAAAAGCAGTTACTATGCTCAGTTTGCTCATCAGTGAGAGAAAGGCACATCCACAGGAGTTTCACAAGGCAGGTTTGAGGCAGTTACCAAGCAAAAAGCCTCCTCACACAATTGCCAAGTGATCCCCAAGGAAAAACATCCAAAGCCCATCTGGACCACGGGTATGGCTTCAATTTGCACATGATGGGGCAGAATATTTTCAAAATTAAACACAGATTTTTTTATTTAAAAAATTGAATTATTTTGAAGCACTGACTCCTCTCTAAAGCATTGAAACAAGGTAAGTTGGCAAGGAAATTCAAAAAGAAACCAAGTTATTCCAAAACAAAGCTTCAAAAGGGCAGAGAGCATTTTGAGAGGGTGCACATCCTGAGAGCACATGGTCTACAGCTCTCTCCCAGTATCCACCGGCAGCATTTGCAGGGAGACCTGCCATAAGCTGGAGAGATCTGCTGTAGGCTTACAGAATCCAATGCTAAACACCTATTAGCTCATTTTGTGCTTTCCAGCAATATTATTTCTTCCAACTCTCCCACTGATCTTAGCAAAGAGCTTTTAACGTCTCAGAGATGCTCACTTCCTCTACTCTCCAACACAGAATGGTCCATTTCTGCATAGCTGAGTTAGAAAACCCTGCACAATCTATCTGCCACGGGACACACTGACAACCTGGCTTGGGGAGAAGGCAAAACACATGGTGCTTTCTCACCAAATGAGGACTCCAGGCCCATGTAACCAGTTCGAAGACACAAGTAAAGGCAATTCTCAGTCACTTTTTGACTTAGAAGAGGGGGAAAAGAATCCTTTTAATGTTAGTGCAGGAAAAACCCCACCACATCTGGAACACAGGTAACCTCATGGGGGATAAGGATCACTCCAGAAATGCTCCCCATTTGCTTGAGACAAGTTATTAATCTCTGGGGAATTTTGCTAGCACATAAATCCATACTCATCAGAAACAACTTGCAGGATGATCACACCATGGCAGACAACGGTGGCTCTGTCTCGCAGTAACAGGGGGTAGTGGCTTGAAGCCTCCCTCCCCTCTCGCTGGCTCCCTAACACAGCTGAAGATGATACAGAGAGCATCTCCAGGACATGCTGTGACTCCAGAGCAGACCCTGCAGCAAGGTCAAACTGGAGCCAGTGCTACCAGGCCAAGGCAGGACCGACAGCCAAGGTTCTTCACCCCAGCAGAGAAAGCTACATAATGGAGAGATGGGCATCCCTTGGCATCCCACCAAGAGCCATGGGCTCTGATGAAGGCATGTCTCTACACTGGCTAAGATGCACAGAAAACAACGGATGGCAAGATGAGGACATCCCCGTCTACTGCAAGGCAAGAGAAAGCAACTGCCAAGCCATGTTAAAAGCTGGCTAATTCACCCCCCGATCGAGATACTCATTGTAATGGACCATTACGTGTCGAGACTCACTTCTACAAGAAGCAGCCGAGACCAGAGAGTTAATGGGATTAAAGGAAACAGATCCAATATGTATAAAAGCTATAGTATATCCACAGTCAAATGAAATAACTATGAATACAAGGATGATGAATATTTATTGTTTGTGTCCAGCTTTTTCAGTGTCGTGTTGCGCATCTTCAGTAATTAATGCAAGACAAAAAAATGCAGTTACTAGACAAATTCTAGGCATTCGCTGAAGCAATTTGGTGCTCATTTATATTTTCAAAGGGCTGGGGTAGAGGCTATCATTGTGTCTTGTTTAAGAGGAGGGTAGGGAAGTACAGCTCTGACCTGAACCCCTACACCAGCCAGAGCACTGAAGGTGGCTTCCTGCTGCTGCTGTGATTCCCAAAGAGCAGAAGGCTTTCATTCAAAAAGAAGCCAGGGGAGATGTCACCTACGATCGGCAACATTTTCAGCATTAATGAAGCAGGAGGCATCCTCTACATGTGCATTCCTTTGGGCTGGTTTTCTTGCCTGTGCAAGGAGCTTTCTAAGCCCTGCAATGTGGAGGAAAGACCTCAAGCATAAGAAAGGAAGAAAGAGGAGCAAGGCAATCTAATCTTTTCAGTTCTTGCTCGTTGCATTCACAAAGACACAGCAGCACAACAACAGAGCCATGCCTCTGGCTTAGTTTTGTCACTGAAAAAAATAGGTATCAGCAAAAAATCCTAGGGTCAGTTCTGCTCTTATGGACAGAGACACACTGGTGGGAGATGACAGACTTCACCCATGGCAAGTATTTCTCTTTGAACAGACTCCAGAGACTCCTGGCATCAAGAAACTAGGAGCTCCCAGCTCTTCCAGCAACACTAAGCCATGTGTATAGGTTTTCCTCTGGAACCCAAGCTCAAACCCTGTCAAATTAGCACCAACCTTTGCCTCAGCTGTTTAACAAAGGGACTGTGCCAAGTCCAGCAGATTCATGCCATCCAAGTAAAACAGGCTAATGCCAAACCCACAGATTATAAGCATATTAGAAGAAATCAC